AAAAAAAAATCATGAAATCCTAATTCAAGTAACATCAAGTATAGTGGAAGAAAGCCTCTGACCTACTTAAAAAATCACAGGTTCATTTTAGCTTTACTCATTTAAAAAAATGCTATTTAGACAATGTGCCAGGCACTGGGCCAGTTTCTGAAAGCATAGAACAGAAATGTGTAAGAGAGGTTCATCTGATCGCAGCCAGAAGAGAGAATTTTAAAGATTAACCTTCGTGAAGTGGTATCTGGTGGGTGTCTTCCAGACACTTTTTTTTCCATATCTGTTTTTTGTGGCCTGAAATTCTATTATGAGAAGGGAAGGCAATGATTCCTCAGTTACAGATACATCATAAGAGATGCAACTACCAAACAGAACTATTACATTAACTGAAATATACTTATTTTTAAAATTATAATCAGATAATAACTAAAATACTTAAGTAAATGTGATCAGGTTCTTTATAGATTTTGATAATGTGGAGAAAGAGACTTAGGAGAGCCATAGACATTTTCAGGTAGGTATAGAGTCATCAGTGAGAAAAAAACAAGAAAAAAAAGAAGTCTATTTCACCAAAATATACTCAGTATTGGCTCAAACTATATTCAACTCTGTGGACAAATACAATGTATAGATGGAGGGGATTTTGAGCTGCATACCCTTGTGTATGTATATGCACCAGAGACTAAGCATATGCATGCGTTATTAGCCGATGATGTAGATAATGTAGCCGCATATATTCATAAAACTTGCCTCTTGGCACTTATTTGTTGATTGAATTAGTGCTTCAGTGGACTTTTTTTTTTATTATTTCATGATATTTGAGGGTACAAACATTTTGGTTACATTTTATGTCTTTGCCTCATCCAAGTGAGGGTTAGAGGCATGCCCTTCCCCTCTACAATACTCACCGCGTCTATTAGTTGTGAGTTTAACCCCTCCCCCACAGCTCCCTAGTTCCTGGAGATTACTACCAAGTGAGCACCATATTGTTAATCAGTTAGTGCCAATTTGATGGTAAGTACAAGTGGAGCCTATTCTTCCAATCTTGTGATACCTCATTAAGTGTTCTTTTTAAGAATTGACTAATCAGGAATCTTTGTATTTCCCCTAGGATAACTCACAATTCGTATGAATTCATTTATACAGGTATATTCTTCCCCTAAACAATGCTCTCTACTTGTCATACAGACATTAACAGGGGGAAAAAAAGAATGAGAGAATCACTAAAAAGGAATACAACTTTCTATCAAAGAAGTTATCAAAGGTAATTCAAGACTTTAAGGTATGTTATTTGATTTCCTCCCTCTCCCCAACTATTAGCTCCTCTTCACTTGTCAAAATAACACTTGTGTATTTGCTGAGGGGAATGGTTTCTATCTCAAGGACTGTAAAATGTTTATTAAAGGAACATATTTTATATGTTTATAAAAAGGACATTTTTTTTATCAGATATGGCTACGATCTTGCCATGCTTTTTGTATTATTCCAAAGAAAGAAACATTCTTATTCACATGATAAAAGCAATTTGCACATATGAATTCACTGTCTGACATCAATGAAATTAGAGAATGTTTACATGTGTTGAAAAGGAAGAAAAATATATTTTGCGGTAAGATGAATTCGAACTAAAGGACCCTTTTTTAAAATGTTAACAACACTGTAAAGCCAGAGGGTGCTGCAATATGGTGAATCAATTTTATTGTTTGAACATGGCACTTAGTTGTCATGACAACCTTCTTAAACTGTAACCCGAAGACAATTAGATCTAAATCGAAGTATTTAGAAAGATAAACTGATAACTTCAAGGTAGAGTTTGATGTTGGGTTTAGAAAAGGTCACAAAGTTATTTATTCCTTTCAGATTGGGTTTTACCTTGATCCTTAATTGAAAGTACAGCATAGATTCTAAATAAGTAACTCATATCATTTATTTAAAACTTTAGCAAAACCAATCTCAATAGTTTTGTTGTAGTTTCATAGCAGAGAACACTTAATATATAAAGAAATGAGAGATGAGAGGAAGAATGAAAAATACCGCTAGCTAAGAATCACTTTTAATTTTAAATTGCCTCTATATTTGGACTGACATTTGTCATGGCACCAACCTTTTACTTTTTAAAATCAGATTGCTAATTAGATGTTTAAAAATAAACAAAAACCCAACTGTTTTTACTTGATTTTTCTTTTCCTTTCAGAGATAGCAAACAAAATTATTTTAAAAAATTGATTCAATGTGCTAGGAAAATATAATTTTAGCATCTCTGCTGGGGTAGTGTCCTCAAAACTACTCTCTAAAATCATCAAATTTTCTACTGAGAGCAGAGATGAGTTTTGCCAGAATTTGAAGACATTGGGAGAGAAATTTGGTTTTGTATCTTCTATCTACTTTTTACTTTAGATTTTCTAACTTCATTTTGGGACTCCTCCCAAATGGAGGATAGCATCTGACATAGGACAGTGAAAGCCCAATATTAATGGCCTGCCCAGAACTTTCAGACCAAATAAATATAAATGCATCTGCCAGGTGGTTAGAAAGCAAACAAAGAGACCCAGTGGTGAGCTATTTGGGGAATAGCTATAGAGCTGTCCAGTTTCTCCCCAGTTAATGTGATAGCGTCTCTAGATAATATAGCTGGTGAACTCAGGTCTACATGAGATGACATATACAGTTGGTCAGACATGAGGCTTTGTTGTTTTTCATTTAAGCATCACAGGGCTATTCAGTGTCTATAACCAATGACGTTTACGTAGTTAAGGGTCTTAGGCACCAATGTGGCCTCTGCAGTGTGCGTCTGAATTTTCTATTCTCATGCATTTTATGAAACCTTTTTCTATTTTTTTAATGGGAAAAATCCAGTAAATGCCTCATGCAATTTTATCTAAATACAAACTCAGGATACACACTTTGGTTTTAACCCCAGTTATTTTAGATGGTGAAATAAATTAGTTTCCTCATCTATAAGGCATGTGGACTGTTTTAGAAAGCCTCTACTATACTCTATTTGTATTCTAAGATCCTTTCCCCTCCTTGTATATTTTTTCCTTGTTATATTGGAAATACTCAACAAAAGGTCAATTATATCACTTAAAACTTATGTCTGTTTGCTTTACTTTGGAAATAGGCACCTAATGAGAGAATATAATAATCTTTTGAATAGAAAAGATATACAAGAAAAGAGACAGATATGGAGAGGCTGGGAGTGAGAAGAGGGGAGTTGCACAGGCTGTGGACAAACTTATTCTGTGATAAAAAGCAATGAAGAGTTCCCCCTCAAGTAGATAAAGATATATATATATATATATATATATATATATGGATACGGATAAAAATGTATATATATGGATAAAGATGTATTAAAGATCTTATTGCATTGTCCCAACGCTAAAAGTGAGAGAACCTATAGCTCTTATACCTGTGACCAAAATAAATTATACTACTACTTGCTATTCTACCTTCCAAGATGACATTTGAGATTTGAAATTGATTTGGCCAAAAATGAAAATAACAAGTGAACAAAATGATTAATCCCTTCCAGCTAATTCTGAGAACTGGACTTGTTACAGCCTGCCCTCTTGGCAAGGAGAAAGATCCAAACATAGATGTTCCTCTCTCCTGAGGGAGATTCTTGGATTTAATGGCAAAAAACACCTTTACTAGATTCCTCTCTTTGCCCTCCATGTGTTTTATATTGTTTGGGTTTATCTCAATGTGGTATACAATCTTTTTTTTTCTTTATTTACACAAAACTATTCACCAATCTTAACCCAAATTCAATTTATCTGCAGTGGAAAGGCTGACTTCCATTTGAGTGGAGATCCTTGAAGAAGAAGAAAAAAAGAATTATAAAGACATTTGATATGAGCAAACACCTCTCTATTAAATTTTACCAAAATTGTGAATTATTTTGCTTTGTTTTTCTCTGTGGAGTTGCTTGTTAATATGTTTTTAATAGACAACAGGGCACCAGGAATCCTGGGTAAATAATGGATGTTAAAAATAGCTACTACCTAACAATGTTACTGGAACAATTAGAATGCAGAAAACTCTCTCTCATGAGAAGCCAACTAAAAACAAAGGCTGGCATGATGCTGCTTCTTTGTGTTTTTTTTTTTTTTTTTCAAATTAATACAGTAAATTTGCTCCAAACTCATCTCTCCCACTTAAAACTATTTGGATGGCTTTTGTGTTGTTTGCTTTTCAACTTCCCCTAAATTATATAATTATGGGATCTATTCTTTGTGTGATTTTACTTCTTTCTTTTTTTTTAATAGACATTTATGGTGCCAACATACATTTATATGTGTGGACTATATATATATGCCTTGTTTTCACACTCAGAGAGCAAGGAAATTATCCTTAAAGAAAGCTTCTTTCTAGTCAGATTCTATTAGGTTATGTTATACAAATGCACTATAACACAAAATTCACCTCTTCATTTGATGTCCAGTTGCTAAGGAACAGAGCCAAAATATTCCTCTTTGTAAGACAACAGAAGACCAGTAGAGATCATGAGGGTTGCCCATAGACATGTACGGGGCCTCCGACCAAGTGGAATTACACTTCTGTATTTAAACCCGGAAGAGCATAACATTATTGACAAATAGCTGTTTTTACCTTGTATACAATGGAATAAAAACAGGGAATTCCATAATCCTTGCAAAAAGCCCAGTAGCTTTTCTAGACTCATGACCTCTCAAGTCATTCGGCATATTTTAAACAGAAGCCCTATCACTTCTGCCTCTAAATGCAAAACAGGACTCCTGAAAAGCACAAAGTTTCTGAAAGATCCTGCCATGTCCACCAAAAGAAACAATTTAACTTTGTTTTTCTTAAAGGCCAACTTCTACAGAGACTTGAATCTGACAGAGCAATAAACACCATCTGAATCTTTTTCAAATGTCTCACCCAAGTTCATTGGACACATGTAAAAGGTATTGTCTATTTTAAAGACCTAAAACATGTTATGATGTCATACCATTTCATAAAGTCCTGAAAGAGATACTTACATTTTGCTGTCACTTTGTAACCCCCTAGGGGAGGGGTGTGGCCTTCTAATGCATCAAATCCAGCGGACACTAGGACCATGTCTGGATCAAACTCTTTGGCCACAGGCTTCACGATGGTCCTGCACAATAAAAAGGCAGCCAGTCACACTTGGGAATGGCGGATACCTTTAAAAATTGTTCAGTGAAAACGACTTGGCACAACCTCAAGAACTTCCCAAGAATAAAGAACAGGGGGAAAGAAAACACTATTTGAGTGGATCAAAAACTTATCATTTCCTTAATACTGAATCACTGTTATTTTAACATCCCAATTCAGACTTTTTTCTTTCATCCTTTTTTCTCCAAATTGAAAAGAAAAAAAAAAAATGCTTTGCAGGTACATTCTAAAGCCTGTCATATTACACACACATCTGTGGCTGTTTTATCCCACTGCCTATGAAAAAAACTGCTTCTTCCAAGGGAGTGACTAATGTTTTACAGAGGAAAGTCGAAGCTTTAGTTGAAAACCCGGCTTGCTCCAGTTAGTGAGAACTTGGTGTAAATTTGAACTATAAATTTCTTTGGGGAAAAAGTTTGCTTTTCCAACTAAAAAAAAAAAAACAACATTTTTAAATATTTGTCGTGGTAGGGGGTGACTCTTGCAAAGGAAAAACACGAAATTCCCTTAATAGAATCCAGACTATAATGTTAAGTGAGGCCAAAGTCAGACACTCCAGGACCATGGTGGCCCCATCCATGACAGCACCCCCTGCTGGTCCCACTCAGACACTTCAACACTCACCTCTCCAGCCTTCTCAAGGCTTCCCAAGCCCTTTCTCATCAGTGCTGGTTTGGAGAGAGAATGACTGTTGAATGCAAGTGGGCTTCATGAAATAAAACTGTTTTAAACATGGGCTTCAAGACCAGTATTCCATCATAAAAACTCAAATTCCATAGACTATTTAGTGAAATGGGGAAACTGCATCCTATAGTAAATTTAAAAAGTATGAAGATCTGGGTTGTGTGTTTATGAGAAATAACTAAAAGAGATATTAAGTAGTTATCCTTGAGTAGCGTCTTAATTAGTTCTTTTGTTTTAAATTTGTAAATTTCCCAGGTTGTCTGCAGTGATCGCATATTAACTTTACATTTAAAATTTTAATTCCATGTCATAAACAAGAAGTTGTTAAAGTTATAATATAAAAAATATTAATTGAAACTTACATACTAGAAATATAAATGAATGAAATATTTTCTCTAACAACTCTACTACAGTCCTAAAAGTCCATCCTTCAGGCTCATAAATGTAAATGCAAGTGCATCCCACAGTAGGATTTCTAGCAATTGGAAAACCACGTGAACCTGAATTGGCCCATCAGTGAAACTAAGTGAAAACCTAACTTTATTTTCTATGTAAAATGTCATTATTCTTTTTCTTCAGTAAAATTAAGAATTTCTACTACAGTTATGTTATCAAAGAGGTATGCTGGATTCTATCCCTTCCCAATAATACCAACTCTTACATTGTAGAGTTTATAAAAAGTGTCACATATAATAAATTCCCTATTTTTCCTGTGAGTAGAATAGCCACCTGTTGTATGTTGGGATATTAGATATTGGAATAAATTCTCTTAAACAATCAAAAGAGTTTTATCAAGATATTCTCTTTAATTTTATTAATCTTATGAATGCCCTTGGAGAACAAATGATGCATTTATAAAAATCAGTACATATATGATTGAACAAGGTTGTCCATGAGATCATTTGCATCATAGTAATCAATTTTCCCTCTTCTTTCCATCTATTGGAAAATCATCTTTCTTTCTTCTTTTTCCCAAATTAATCTGTACCTTTCTAATTTTTACCCAGTCTTCAAGGCAAATCTCACTTACTATGTTCTCCATTATGGCTTCTCTTTATGCATGGATATTAAATACATATGCATATATTTTTGGTGAACCAACAGGAAAGAAGACAAAGATTGCCAACATAATTTAAGAATACAGAAGCATAGACATGATTTATAGAGTGTAAGTGCATACAGAGAAGCCACAAAATCAAGCTGATTTTTCCCTCTTTCTAGAAAAAATAACTGACCAAACAGGAAATACCCAGAGAGTCTGACAGTTGTGTGTCACTCAGACCCACAGTCAGCTTGTTTTTCCAATCTTCCTCTAGGGAATCCTACAGTGAATCACCAGTCAAAAAGCTCAACCCAGTTACACATCTTTTCAGTGCTCTTTTCTCAAATATGATGGATTATCCCTATTTGTTTGAAGAAAGCTTCAAGTATGCAAGATAACAAAACTAGCATGCAAAATAATAAATAAAAGAAAGTAAACTCAGAAAATCAGATAAGATGCAGGGAAGAAACAATAATTTCAAATATTAGGATTATCCTTAAAGACATAAGATAGTACGTTTATAAAATGAGAAGGGGGTGCTACTAAAAAAACCCTAAAAAAATAAAAAATACAATAAACTTTGGAAGATAAAGTTGGCAAGTTCTCTCAGAAAGTACAACAAAAAACAGAGAACTGGAAAATTGCTAACAATAAATCAGAAACTCAGAGGACCCATATAGGACAATTAACATCTGAGGAAAATTTCAAATTTTTAAAAATTTAGAATCCCATATACATCTCAACTGCTGATCAAAACTAAAAGTAGAATAGAATTTTAGACTTTCAAATCTTAGAAAAATAGAATCCCCTACAAATATCTTCACAGGAAGGTACTGGATAAAGCACTTCATCAAAATGAAGGCATAAACCAAAAAATATAGCGAGAGATACAAACCATTCCCCTATCAAAACATTTTTATAAATTCTCATTTTTTCCAAAAGTTTTAAAAATTTTATTCTAACTTTAGAACAAAACAGTAGAAATTTGCTCTGCCATTGGAAATTTGGCATGGAATAGAGGAGGTTTTCATTCCAATGCAAATATTCTGTTAATAAATACATCTTACCCGCTTACAGGGGAACTGTATTTCTCTATGCCAAATACCTCTGAATATACAGAATCACTGCTTTCTATCTGAAGCAAACAGCACATTTGTTATGTAGGCCTTTCCTGAATTCACAAGCATATGGGTTTTACAATTTCATGCAGGTTTTTAAAATACTCTATTTTGCAGGACTAATCCTATACATTTGAATTCACTCTAAAAACATAAGAAAAAGATGCCCTCCCACTTAAAACTATACATTCTGGGAATTAAGTCTGAGTGGTAGTAGTTTGTTGACTAAATTAGTGATGCATAATAAGAACAGAGTTATGTGATATTATGCTGTAATATATCCTGTGTGTTTTCTATTATATTAAAGACCTATATGGCAACAGATGTTTACAGATAGTGATATTGGTAAAGTTCTCAACATCTCAACAAGTATATATTGAGTATCTACTATGTTGCAAACACTGTTTTAGCTTAAAGATGTGCTCAGTGTTGAACTGAGTCATATTTATTTTCCTTTTGTTGACATTAAACTCTTTCTTGCTTTTCTCTTTGATAAATTTATCAAATTAAGACTCCACAAGTCTTTTTATTTTGGCGATTATCTTAGGAATGCCCATGGAAGTATTTGCACTGTTCTATTCATGCCAGTCTAGATTGATCTTTATTCAAAAGATCTATGGTGTCTAAAAGGTTGAAAAATGTATTTGGGGGTAATAAGTATGCAAAACAATGTCATTTTTCCTCAAACTGAACAAATATTTGAAGGCCTTCATTTCAAATTTTATCTGAAGAATGGGATTTTCTATTTAAAGATAACAAACAAAACATACACATTTGCCTCTCCTCTTTCCCAATATCCCACTGAAAAGAAAGCATAGGAATATATATCTGAACTCATGGTTTTTAATGTATATCAGATAAATAGATACATAAATCACTTTTGATGGGTGTGTATCCATAAGATGGTATATATTTCCTAAAAGCAATGACACCCAGTAACAAGGAACCCAGTTGGTACACAGATCTTGCTTTCTAATATCAATTTTCAATGAAAGAACCCAGGAATCCTTGGAGAAGTGGTTGATTCCAGAACTGCATCAGGGAAAATACCAGGTGACTCTGGAACAACTTGAGGTGACAGAAAGCAACGAAATGCTCAAAAAGATATAGGTACATGTCAATAGTGTGTAAGAACCAATGTGAAGGAGCTCTCAATGGCCAAAGCTGGACTAATTTTAAGAACAAAATAAATGATAGGATTGGATTATAATCCATAGAGTCAAACACTGAGTCCATAGTGAGCTAAATAAATATTGAACAGAGAGGAGAGGAAATAGTTCTTTCCTACAGAAAAATATCGAGTCTTAAATGTAGAAGAATTGAGGGAAATAGGAAATCACTATTTGAACAAGACAGGAATAATTGCTGCAGGCAAGATCCATGGATGGATACTAAAATTAGTGGACAAAAGTTGGAGGAGAAACATGATACTTGCATAATTCCAAAGTATTACGGAAAGAAAACAGCAGACACTACCTTAATGAAGTAATCAAAGTTAATATCTCCTGTCATTTTCTATGACTGTGGTCCCCATCGCCGGGCCATAGCTGGGTACTGATAGGAACCAGGCTGCACATCACAGCCTGAGCTTCACCCCACAAATGCCCCCCTCAACCTCTCATCTCCCCACCCCCACCTACTCCCATCCTCATCATGGAAAAATAGTGTTATTGTCCTCCATGAAACTTAGGAACCAGGCCTAAGAGCAAGAGGTGAGTGGAGCGGGAGTGGGGCGAGCCAGCAAAGCTTCGTCTGTCTGTATTTAGAGCCACTACCAGTAGCATCTGCAGCCTGAGTTCTCCCTCCCCCCACAACTCCACTCCTCCCCCCAAGGAGAAATGTCTTGCGTGAAACATGAAACGGATCCCTGGTGCCAAAAAGGTTGGGGACCGCTGCTCTATGATGCATTGACAAAGGCAGATCAATCCTATAGTATTCTTGTTAAAAATATATAACCTTAAATATAATAATGAAATCCGAGCACTCTGGGAGGCCGAGGTGGGTGGATTGCTCTAGGTCAGGAGTTCAAAACCAGCCTGAGCAAGAGTGAGACCCTGTCTCTTTTATAAATAGAAAGAAATTAATTGGCCAACTAATATATATAGAAAAAATAAATTA